CTGTAGCTGATCTAAGGTCTTAATATTAACTAATGACATGATTACATCCAGGAAAGAAATGAAAACATGCAGAGAAAATATGTGCAAAAATGTTGACTTTAACTTCTCTTCCTCAATTTAACTGTGGTCCTCGTCTGAGAAAGAAAGCAGTCCATTTGTAAAATGTGACCTTTATTTAATCTAGCAAACACATACTGGTTTTTCTCAGAGTTGTATTTTAAAATTTTGTCTTCTATATAAAAATTAGAAAGAAAAATTCAGTCTTGAAACTATCTGTTATGGAATAGATATTAGCTGTCCCCCAAAAGCTCATATTTGAAACGATGCATGAAGGAGGAGAAATGACTGGGTTATAATTCTCAACCCAATTAATAAAATAACCCCCTACTGGGATCAACTGGGTGGTAACTGAAGGCAGGGAGGGTGTGGCTGGAGGAGGTGAGCATTTGGGGTGTACATTTTGTATCTGGCGAGTGGAGTCAGTCTCTCTCTCTCTGTCTCTCTCCTTTCTGATCATCATGTGAGCTGCCTCCCTCTGCCACACTCTTCTGCCATGATGTTCAGCCTCACCTCAAGCCCCAAATGGAGCCAACTGCTTGCTGTCTGTGGACCGACACCTGTGAAACTGTGAACCCTCAAATAAACTTTTCCTTCTCTATAAATGTTCTGGTTAGATCTTGTAGCCACAGCAGTGAAAAAGCTGACTAAAAGATTGTCTTCGAGGAACTTCTTGGACCATATATTTGACATAGAGAAAAAGTCCTAGTCTCAGTGGCCACTGGGAGCAAGCATGTCTGCTCATTCTTTCATTCACTCATTAAACGTTCATTGAGCCTGCTATGTGCCAGTTTCTGGAATAGATCTGAGCTCAAAGATGATTCAGAAATAATCCCAATCTTTAAGGAATTCGGTCAGGAGAAACAGAAAGCCATATGCAGATATAACTGTTTTATAGTGATGTAAGCACCGTAAAGACATGTGCAAAGGACAGCAGTGATTAGAGAGAGTGTGTGACTAGCTCTGTCTGGAAAGACTCAGGCAGGACAGCCAAGAAGCAGGAGAGCTTGAGCCAGTTCATGCACAAAGCCCATGGACACTCCTGGCGATGGGTGTGCAAAGCCACCAGTACTCGAGACACCAAGTCTGCCGCTCACTCTCGGGACTATCTGAGGGAGCCTGGGTGAACTGTTTCCAGCAATGACAAGCTGAGCCCCTGGAAGGCGCATGCGCCTTGCTGAGAGTATTAGGCTTTGCTCTAGGGAGAAGAAATGAAGGCTTCTTCCTGGGTTTCTGGCACAGGTAAATAAGGGAATTATTCACTAAAATGGGAAATAGAGAGAAGGAGCATTTTCAAAGGCAGTTTTTGAAACTGTGTTTTCATCAACTCTACTTAAAGATTTCTGTGGGATGTCCAGCCGCAAATAACCAAGTGACAGGTTTATATGTCGGTTATGGTCATGAATGAAATCCCCCAGAGGCAGATGGATGTGCAGCAGAACGCTCCCAGTCCTTAAAAACACTGGCATTTATGACTGGAGCACAGGGGAGGAGGTGTAGAAAATGGTTAAGAGGTAGAAGAACTAGCAAAAGGGCCCGAGGAGGAGGAGGGTCCGATGCTGGAGAAGCCGATTAGGGAGAGCAGGGCGGCAGAGCGAGGGACGCCTGCGCCGGCTGGGTCTGTGCTGATGGCTGCGCTCTTGGCCAACCGCCAAACTCGTTCAGTGGCTGCACCCTCGAACCTAGGAGCCGTAGAAAACTTAAATATTAAGCTTCAAGGCTGAGGTCACATGTTTGGGATTTAGTTTCTTGCCTTGGTTGTCACAATGATGGAATTTCTGCTTTTTAAAATGTCCCGTACAAGACCCTGAAGCCGGATCTCGTGATGGGCACGCAGGGCCAGCCGCGCAGCCCAGTCCTGAGTGTTGGGTGGGTTCCTGCTGCAGGGATCCTCGTGTGCCCACCTACCCACGGCCTTGACCACAACGTCTGAAAGGAAGGGGACAGTTTAAAGGAATATTCACATCAAATCACGTGAATATTTAGAAAGATTAAAAAATGCATCTATTGCTGCCACAACCTCAGGGCCAGAAAAACCTTTCATGCTGATAAAGTTCTGTTACTTAGGAAAAAATGCCTCATTATCACAGCAAATGACACATCATAAGCGCTGTCTAGTATTAGCAAGATGCAGAACACTTTATGTAAAAACATACAAAGAAATCTTATGCATTTCTATATATCATAATGTTTTTAGAAGTCAACTTTCTTTGGAGAAGACTTTTTTTGTTTTGTTTTGAATGACAACTCGTAATTACACCAACAAACACTCCTGCTCACTGTAGCAACCAAACAGATGGATACTGAGATACACCCACAGGAAAATCAAAAAGGAGCAAGATCTGCATTTCTCTCTGTCTGTCGGTCTCTCTTTTGGATTGGATAGGTTTATTTCATTTTATTATTTAAAAATTTTATTTTGCTCTGCTGATGTGTCTAATGCCATTGGAACCTGAATTTGAAAGCATCAATGAAGAAAGCATTTTTGAAAATAAAGTATTGTTTCTGGTAATTGATCTTATTTTAATTTACTCAATAATACGTGTTATTTAGAAATAATTACTTTATTCAGATTCCAGTTTGAATAAACAATCTTTGAAAAAAGACCAGATGTTGGCACGTTGAGAGTAAGAGTTGTAAATTAGACTTCATCTTCCTGGTTAGGGAGGAGGACATTCTGGATAAGTCCATAAAAAGTGATATTATAGCTTAAATAGTTTTACAATTATAGAACCTCATCTTTTCTGATGAGTTTGAAAAGTTCAGCCCATTTTGACAACTGGTAATTAGCATGAAAGTTAAGTTAATGAAGAAACTTTAAATACAGTGGCTTAAAGAAGATAATATTTGGCAGAGTATTTGGGTGTTGGGATAGTTCTAGTCCCAAAGTAGTCATACAGGAATACATCTTGTTCTACCATCACTTGGAGCAACGTTCTTGTCTCCATGATCAAAGCTGGCTTGTGGTTGTTTCCACGCTCCAGCTAGGGGCCTGGGAAAGAGAGGTGTACTGGAGCAAGTAGATTATCTTCCATGTTGGAAGTCCCAGAAGTTGTACACGTCCCCTCCATCTGTATTTGCTCACATAGCGACATTCAGATTAAAGGGAAGTGGACAATACAGTGTCTGGCTGGGTGTCCACATGCCCAGTTTAAACCCTAGAACTAAGACAGAAAGGGAGAACAGATATCAATGGTCAACCAGAAGTCTTCTGATCTTTGCAGGATACTCAAATAGAAACACTGTAATGCTGACCTTGGACTCCATGGCTCAAACAATGCTTAAAATGTACAAAAGATCATACTGCAGAAAGAGGGGAATAGAATGCAATCTATTCCAAATGAATATTTTTAAAAGACACAGTAATGTAGAAAGATAGTAAAAAGGCTCAGAGCTTAAGTAAACACATTTGAATAGGAATTGGTGTGTTGTAAGACAAATGAAAGTCGGTTGATTTACCATGCCTCCATCCAAATGAAAATAAGGTCACCCCTGATTCTGAGAAGTTCATATAGGAAAGGGAAAGAATTCTAATTAGGATTAAGAACATTATCTCTCTCCAAATGTCTGAAAGCATACAATACTGGTTCTGTCTATGGCTATACCTATAATTTTGCAATATGACTTTTTTAAAAAGGAGGAGACAATTTGGTAAACTGATAACTAATTTAGATAATGCTAATTGTATTGGGTGAAAGATGATTAGGAAAGTTATAAAAGAAACCTCCAGTGTGTTCTGCATGGGATATTATTGAAAACATGAATATTGTATAAAGCTGTTATCCCTTCCACAAAAGGGAGATGGTTCCTGGATGCACTTGTATTATACAAAGTCAGAAGAGGAGGAGCTGGGGGCAGGGGTGGGGGGCAGAGTGGTTATGCTGACTTTGGTACACTCTTGAATCCCTCTTTAATTCCTTTCTGTGAATGGTATTTGTGCACTCGCACGCGCACACACACGTGACCTAATTGTATAACATTCTTTGACTTTATAATCACAAACTATACTTTGCATGTGGATTACCAGTACAAATTTGCTACTTCCTTCTCAGTGAAATACAAATAGCTTTGGATATTCAGTAAACCCACTTGATTTTAGCTATACACACAAGTTGCTGCCTTAGAACATCATGGGACTTAATATCCCTTCTTGTGGGATGGTTGCTATGATTAACCAGTTTTTGGAAGATTAGTCAAATATTTGTTTCCCATTTTAGGTAAACATTGTATGTGTGGATGGTTTATTTCAGGTATCAGCTTGACTGGATTAAGGGATACCTAGATAACTAGCAAAGCATTCTTTCTAAGTATGTCTGTGAGGCTCTTTGCAGAGGAGACGGGTGTGTGAATCAGGGAAATGAGTAGAGAAGATCTGCCCTCAAAGTGGGTGGACCCCAGCCAGTTGGCTGAGGGCCTGTATAGAATAAGAATAGGGAAGGTGGTTTCTCTCTCCCTCATGAAACTGGGACACCTTGATTCTCCTGAAATTGGTCATCAGGACTCCAAGTTTTCCAGCGTTTGGACTGGAGGACCTGGACTGGTAGTCCCCCAAGTGCTTTTGCCTCTGGCATTGGATTGAGAGTCACACTATAGGCTTCCCTGGGTCTGAGACCTTCTGGCTTGGACTGTCCTTCCTGTTTCTTTGGCTTGCAAACAGCCTATTGTCGGGCTTTTCGTGCTCCATAATTATGTGAAACAATTACTCAAATCCCTTTTCATCTGTGATCTATCTATATGTCTATCATCTATTGATAAATCCCACTGACTCTCCCTCATAACATGCAGGATATCTATATCCACCGATCTATATATTTATATGGATATGAAGATGGATATATAGATAGATCCACATACAGAGATAGATACCTTATTGATTTTTGATTCTATCTGGAGAACTCTACTACAGTGTGCTAATTTCCACAAGTATGATGTCCTATACTGAATATATTCAATGTTATTTAGAATAACTGTATTTCTTTATACAATGTGATTGTCAACAGGGAAGATATGGTGATTGTCCTGTGAACATTCAATTAAACAAAAGATACATCCTTTATAAGAGGTAACAAACTTCCTTCCACTTCTGAAATTCAAGTCAAGCAACCCCTCTAAGCTAGTTATTTTCTGTTCTTTCCCTTCCCACATTTTTCTGCCTTCCTTTGTGGCATAGGAAGATGACCCCTTTGGAGCACATCTCTTGAGCTTCCCAGCTCCTGAATTTCTGATTGTATTTAGCTGCTCTTTAGAAGTCAGAGGGTGTGAATAAAGGTTTGGGGCTCTTCTCTTTTTTCCATGCTCTATCTCAGGCAACAGCTATTTCTTTCTGGTACCACAACTCCCACTGAGGACCCTTTTCTGCTGATTCACCCCTCATTGTGTTCAATAACTACATTTCTTTCTCTTTGTCCTTTCGGTCTAGAGGTGGTAGCAACTTTCTACTGTAGCTGGTGTCTGGGCATCTCAACATCTGTTGTTCAATCTCTCAACCCAGCCAGCCCATATCTCTATAAGGAATGCTTCCGTAAATTTCTTCATTTGATTCACCTGGAGTGAATTCTGTTTCCTACCACAACAATAATAGGGAAGTCAGCAGACAAGTCTTTGTGTTGATCTATGTTTATCAGGTTCCAGAAAGAGTTATCCATGCCCAGTTTAATTTTTTCTTTGTTTCCATCTTGAACTCATTCCAACAAGTCATTGGTCTTATTGCTCTACCACTCTGCCCTTGTCAAAGTCACCAAAATCAATAACTAATGGTAACCTAATGGTCAGGTCTCATCTGACTTGATCTTTCAGCTTCATTGAGCACAAGTAGCCATTTCCTTCTTGAAATTTTCTCTTTGCGTGACTTGATAGACATCCCATTCTGTTGACATTTCTAACATCTCATTAGCCAAACTTCTTGGTCTCTTTGGTTGGATCCTTCTTGTGTGACGGAGCTGTCTGTTTTTCATAGGCACTTTCTGTTTTTTTTTTGTAGACACTCAGACTGCATTTGTGAATCTCTCTAGCAGTTTAGAGGGGCCACAGTTGCCACTTCCAGCTGTGGTCCCTCACTCCTCCTATGCACCACTCTTCACCTTCTTTCTCTTTCTGCTCACATGATACAGATGTTTATGATGACATTGGAAGCCATGGGGTAAAGATGGAGAAGCTACAAGATAGGAGGAGAGTCACTCATCAATCCAGACACCCATTTTGTACTCTATGTTAGTGAGAAATAAACTACTAAATTTGAACTATTATTTATTTTTGGCTTTTTTTTTTGTGTGTGTGTGACAGCAATAGTATTACCTGAACAAATTCACTCCTTGGCTCCCTGTCCTTTAACATCGAATGACCAGGGTTCAGTCTTAGATCTCTTCTTCTTCTATACCCTTTTCTTTGTGACTTTATCCATTCAAAAACTGATTTACTCCCAGATAGTTTTAAAAATACCATCTATATTTTTGTAAGCCCCAGTATTTTGATTACTCAGGGGAAAAAAAATCCTTGGACTCCACAACTGGTCGGTTATTACATCCCCACTAGCTCTTCCAGCACAATCCGTAGCCCCTGTCTCCTTCCCTGATATCCACACCTGGAATTCGGCAATGGCCTCCTCCATTCTCTCTGCTTCTGCCTTTGTCCTTTCCTGCCTGTTCTTAATATGGTCACCAAAATCAGATCATGTCACTCTTCTGCTCAAAATCTGCACATCTTTGCCTCCCACTCTGAAGAAATCTAGGGGCCCATAAGGTCCTCCAGGAGCAGCCCTTGCTACCTCTTTGACCACATTTCCTATAAAACTCGGTCTGGATAATCCTGCCACGCTGGGGTCCTTGCTGCTCCTCTTTGACATTCCCAGAGCTGCCATCCCTCATCTCCTTGACTCTCTAATCACCCTATCAGTGAGATTTCCTTAGCCATTCGTTTAAGTAGCAATCCCTCTGCACATACTCAATTCTCTCCCTTCCTTTTCATTTCTTTCTCATAACAGTTATCATCAGCCTACACACTATTTGATTAAAGTGCCTTGTGTTTTTTATCTTCACTCCCCAGCATTTAGCTCAATATAGAAAGAGATTCTTTTCGTGTTTTGTTCCCTGCAATATGTCAGCATCTAGAACAACAGTTGTGGAATGAAAGAATGAATGCACTCCTTTTAAACCAGAGAGGCAAATCCAAGTTTTAAACTGCATTTTATAAAGCAAGCCACAGAATAAGCAATGTGGGGGAGACAGGAGCAACCTGAGTATGCAGTCGCCACCCTGAGCCTCCCCAGCAAACCCAAGGGTATGATGTCCCGAGAGAGGCTGCAAAAGCAGAGGCGTTAACCTGGATCTTGCTCTGTGCTCAGAAAGTCACTTAAGAACTGTGACAGGGCTGGGGATGTGGCTCAAGCGGTAGCGCGCTCGCCTGGCATGCGTGCGACCCGGGTTCGATCCTCAGCACCACATACCAACAAAGATGTTGTGTCCGCCAAGAACTAAAAAATAAATATTAAAAATTCTCTCTCTCTCTCACTCTCTCTTTAAAAAAAAAAAGTCTTTAAAAAAAAAAAAAAAGAACTGTGACAGCCAAGAACTCACTGACTGCCACCAACAGCAAGAAGCTCCTGGTCCTCTGGGAGGCCTTCAGTAGGTGCTGCAGCAGTGTACTGGAGAAGGTGAAAGGGCTACAGGAGCAAGAAGGAGTCCAAGCCAGTCTACAAGGACCTGCACATCTCCAAAGATGTCCCTGGGGTGGGTGGGGGAACTCAGTCATCGTGGTCCTATGGAATCTGCTTCATTCTGAACTAAAAGTTCACTCCCTTATCCTTCAAAGACCTGCCCTTTAAAGGACACCATACATGACAAAGAGAGAGAGAGAGAAAGAGAGATTGACAGTGATGACTTCGTAATGTAACAGAAAATATTCTGCACCATTACTAACCAGCATTTCTGTAGCCCTCAAACCTGAAACCATCCCAATAATCATGCTGACAGAGGTGGCTGGAGAAGATTGGGGTCCACTCAGCAGTATTCCAAGACCCATAGCAAAGAAACACTTGAAGCTAGTCTTGCTCGATTTAACACAAAAGTATTTTAAGGCAAGTGTGTTTTTATTTTTATGTCATATTACCAAATGGATATATTTTAATGTGAATTTATAAATATGTTTGTATTTTTCTTTTTATAAAACAGTATAAAGTCAGTATAAATGGAAACGGGGTAAAGAAAAAAGAGTGAAAGATTAAGGATAGAAGTTGGAAATGACAGAGGCATAAGCAATCAACACACAGTGCATGATCTGCAATCCTTCTTCCTTATGTTTAAAGAAATGTCCCTATTCAGTGCCCTGCATAAGTTGAATACAGTAACATAGACCTCAGTGCACACAGCATTCATTCATTCTCAAATACTGAGCCAGAGTTGTGCCTTTTTCTTGCTACATTCACTTGGCAATCAATTCACATCATCATCATTATCCTGTCATCAGCAGCAGTTAAAGACAGATGGGGCCCTTCAGACATTAGAAATAGCCCAATGTGCAGATTTTAGTTACTCCTTTTTTTTTCCCCCATGTGAAATAACCATTCCGGTTATGGAGCAATAATAAAACATTTCTTACTGAAAAACCACGAGAGATTAAAAATGGGTTTGGCCTGGCCTGTGAGAAATGATGTCAAGTGATGTAGTGGGCTAATTATTGTGAAGACTTAATTCCTGTGTCATCAGGTATTTATAGATATACAAAGCATTCTACTGATTAAACAGCATTCAAGGTGACTAAACATTAACCATGATTGACAGTTTACAGCTCAGACAGACTAAAAAGATTAAATAACATTAGAAAGTGACAGGTGACTTCTTTCCCCTCTGGGCATTTTGCCCTGTGAGGAAAACGATTGAGACTTCTAATAATATTGCTAACAAGTAAGTTCTGGACTGTTTGCTTGCAGCAGTCCTATTCCGGTAAGGAATGCAAATCCGGTTATGCATCTTTTTCATCTTGGTGAGGTTGCAGTGGCTATAGAAGTTAGATGTAAGGTAAAGGAAAAATAGAACTTCCTTGGGACTTAAAATGCCCTGAAATGTCCAACTTCTAGAGACAGATAATGTTTCAAAGCTGTCTTAGCCAACATCAATTTATTTTATATTGGATACGTGTTCTCTTAGAAATAGAGTTAAGATTTTCCTAAATTCAGATATTCATCATTTCAGGTAGCTACCTTTGCTTCTATAGAATTTCCCATGTAGCTGTGACTGCACTTATTTTACATGATTTCTAATTAAATACCTATGTATGCCTCATCTCATTCTCTTTTTCTAGAATGTTCAGAGGTTTTTGTTTTTCCTCTCCTTTAAGCTGGATGCTACTGCTTTCTATAAAACTTTAATCCTAAAACCTTACATGCCTGTGGTTCTTTGAACTATATGAATTGTTTGTTTTATCTCATATCTCATGGCAGTAATAGCATCTAGGCTGGGGTCATCATGAGGACTGATTGACAGAATGCATGTGAATTATTTAGCAAAGTGCTAGCCCACACCATTTTAATTAACTAATTTCTGCATGGAAGTTTTGCAACAGCCTCTTAAAATGGACAAAGTTAAGCAGTATTTCTATCCCTTATGAGTTAATTTTAATTATATAGGATAATGGGCTCCACAGTGGCATATTCTTATGTGCAAATAACATGCTTTGATCATATTCACCCCTTCCCTAGGTTTTTGTTTAATGGGTGAAGAATCAAAGACACAAAACTTGAGTGGCTTTCCTAAAGTCACAAGGCTTTTGAGGACCTAAGTGAAGGTTAGAACTCAAACCTTCTGGTTTCTAATCTGAATATGTTCCCTAGAATCTTCTAGACCTCACTGCCGCTCTGGAGTGTGGGATGCCCTTGACTTCTCCTTATCGTTGTCTAGAAGGCAAAACAACTATCACTAAGGCTCCCATCTGAAGTCTCACGGCTCTTCTAGTCCCTAACTATTTTTTGTCTATGAAGACTGTATTTTGTGTTGATATACTTTGGTTTTAATCCTGACTCCGGTGCTTAATAATAGTGCATAAAATGGACATAAGATTATTGTGAGGATCCCAAAAGTGAGATATTGCCTATAACATACCTGCCTCATGGAAAGGACTCCATAAATTATTTTCATTGGTATTATTATTATTCCTCGATAAACTCCAGAGCTGAGCTGCTGTACCTGCTGCCATATCCACGTCTCCACACCAGCTGTCCCCTTGGGTTCCAGCCAAACTGGCTCATGGCCTCCACACTCCACTGAAACTACTGCTCTCCTGTCAATAAATTCCTCCTTCCAACCAATCCAGGACCTGTCTCCAGCTTGCGACACTGTAGATCCGTCCCTCTCCACTGGATGTTTTTCAGTCTTGGCAACAGTGTACCCTACCCTGGTGGTTTTCCTTATACAAGGCTCCCTCCTCTTCTAATGGTAGTACTTCCCCCAGCCCACCCTTCTGAGCTCTGCCTGTCCCTGCAGACAAAGTCTTGGACTTAATGTTTTCCTTTTCAGCTGTACCTGATGAGGATCATGGTTTTATTTACTCCTCTATATTTGCTACCTTGTACTTATCATCTCTGCTTCTAAAGCATTTAATTGGTTTATTCCTGCATTGTATACGTCATTTTATAGAAGCTAGTGTGTGTGTGTGTGTGTGAGTGTATAATAATTTTTCTCTATCTCTGAAGGCTTAGAGACTTAGAACAGTTGGAGGGATGTGATTAACATTATTGGCAAGAAGCAAAATTTTAAAAAAGCGCCCGAGCATCCTCTGTATCTCTTTGTCTTTTGCAAACTTTCAGAGGTGCTTTCGTGGGAGGGCATCTGACAGCAACATGAGTAGGCAGTTCTTCTACTTCCTCCCCATGCAGCATCTTAGCAATCCCTTAGAGAGTTGGAAACACATGAATAAACAGGGTGCATCTCCATTGCTGATGTTCCATTTGGAGTCTCACTGAAACAGCAGTAAATTTGAACTCATATCAATGAATCCCTGGAACAAGTGAAACTCCGCATCCTGTTTGAATAACCAGTCTTGTTGCCAGTTATCTCAACACAGAACATAGTTGTCCTCACTTGTTCTTGGTATCCTATAGTGCTGAGAACCCTTGGAAAATCTTGGAAAATTCCCCCATTCTTGTAGTCTCCTTCCAACATGGAT